TGAAAGCATCTTGATTAGGCCTATGATAGTGTACTTTATATTAGTATATGTATAAAGTTTCTTTGTCTTCCATCTTGCCTGAACTAACATTCATCTGTTGTAGTAAGATGTACTTTCTCATGGCCTTAAAAAATAAGGGTGCTATGTGTCACAGGCAGACTTAGCTGTAACTAGCTTTAACCAGTTGGATAGAGGATATGCACACTCATCCAACATTACCTAATCTTCTAGAACAGAGTTCCTCAACCAGGGTTCCTCTAAAGGTTGCTAGGGGTTCTTTGAGCAATGAGCAATTTTTCCTCTCAGATAAGTTCTCCCTGACACTGTTGATCTTTTTAGCTATCTGTAAGGGGGTAGTTCTTCCACATGACCAAAAAGATCATTTTGTGCACTGACCATCACTATAATACACTGCTCAAAAAAATTAAAGGAACACTTTGAAAATGGATAAGATCTCAATGGGGAAAAATATCATGCTGAACATCTATACTGATATGGACTGGGTAATGTGTTAGGAATGTAAGGATGCCCCATGGAAATGAAAATGAAAATTATCAACCTACACAGGACTGAATTCAAAGACACCCCAAAAATCAAAGTGAAAAAAATCATGCAGCAGGCTAGTCCATTTTGCTGAAATTTAATTGCAGCAACTCAAAATGGTACTCAGTAGTTTGTATGGTCCCCACGTGCTTGTAATGTTCCTAATGAGACAATGACATCCTGGGCTATTTCCTCCCAGAACTGGACCAGAGCATCACTGAGATTCTGGACAGTCTGAGATGCAACCTGGCAGCGTCGGATTGACCAAAATATGATATGCCAGAGGTGTTCTATTGGATTTAGGTCAGGCGAGCGTGGGGGCTATGTAATGGTATCAGTTCCTTCATCCTCCAGGAACTGCCTGCATACTCTCACCACATGAGGCCAGGCATTGTTGTGCATTAGGAGGAACCCAGGACCAGTGTAGGGTCTGACAATGTGCCCAAGGATTTCATCCCGATACGTAATGGCAGTCAGGGTGCCATTGTCTAACCTGTAGAGGTCTGTGCGTCCCTTCATGGATATGCCTACCTAGACCATCACTGACCTACCACCAAAACGGTGAAGCTGAACGATGTTACAGGCAGCATAACATTCTCCTTGGCTTCTCCAGACCCTTTCATGTCTGTCACATGTGCTCAGGGTGAACCTGCTCTCATCTGTGAAAAGCACAGAGCACCAGTGTTGGACCTGCCAATTCTGGTGTTCGATGGCAAATGCCAATCGAGCTCTATGGTGCAGTGAGAACAGAACCCACTAGAGGACGTCGGAACCTCAGGTCACCCTCATGAAGTCTGTTTCTGATTGTTTGGTCAGAGACATTCACACCAGTGGCCTGCTGGAGGTCATTTTGTAGGACTCCAGCAGTGCTCATCCTAATTCTTCCTGCTTGCTTCCTCCTTGCAAAAAGGAGCAGATACCAGTCCTGCTGATGGGTTAAGGAGCTTCTACGGCCCTGTCCAGCTCTCCTAGAGTAACTGCCTGTCTCCTGGAATCTCCTCCATGCTCTTGAGACTGTGCTGGAAGACAGAGAAAACCTTCTGACAATGGCATATATTGATGTGCCATCCTGGAGGAGTTGGACTGCCTGTGCAACCTCTGTAGGGTTCGGGAATCACCTCATGCTACCATTAGTGACACTGACCCTAGCCAAATGCAAAACTAGTGAAAAACAGTCAGAAAAGATGAGTAGGTAAAAAATGTTAGTGACCTCCACCTGTAAAACCATTCCTGTTTTGGGGGTTGTCTCGTTGTTGCCCATCAAGTGCACCTGTTGTTAATTTCATTAACATCAAAGCAGCTGAAACTGATTAATGGCCCCCTCTGATATTTAACTGACCAGATCAATATCCCAGGAGTTTAATTGACTTGAGCTATACTCTGATTAAAAAATGTTCTTTTAATTTATTTGAGCAGTGTATATCCTGAGTTTTAGATATAGTCATTTTTAGCAGGGGTTCCCTGAGACTAGAAAATTATTTCAAGGGTTCCTTTGTGTTTGAAAAGTTGAGAAAGGCTGTTCTAGAATATTCCCAATGTCTGTATAAACCATCCCTTTAGGAATATTTTGCACATTGAGCATATCTCCTCTGCGTTATTCCTCATATGCACACAATATAAAAGGGAGAGGTGAGGAAGTTTTTATCATGATAAAAAAAAGAGATTTATGGAAAAAAAAAAAAAAAAAAGAGTGTACTGTTTCAAAGACAACAGCTTGATTAGTCCAAAATGTACAAGGGAGGCCAGCAGCAGTTCCAGAAGATGGTCATGGTGGCTGGCCAACAAATGTGGCAGGTGCTGATAATGGAAGCACTATTTTTTTATGGGGGGGGTGGATATTACAAGGATAAAGTTAGTCGGTAGCATCAGTTGCAGGGGTTTTGTAATCATTGCTTATCCAAGACTGGTTAATTTTAATAAAAGAGAACCAGTCCACAGAGTTAGGGGACAGGTGGATTTGTCTCTCTGTAAAAAAATTCCTGCTGTTCTGGAGGCCCTCTCAGACACTATAAAGCATGGATCGACTAATTTCCCAGTACAGCCATTGACAGCCACTCATGCTGGCTGTCAGAATACCCAGACTGTGGGTGTTTTTGATTGAATGTCATTTTCCACTGATTCTTTCCATTTTTCAGTGTAAGGATGTAAGGTGTAAGGGCCACCCGCTCAGCCCCGGTTCACATATATACAGCCAAATATGCGATCGTGCTGTGTTTTGCGCGGGCACGAGAGCCTATTCATTTGAATGGACTCTCGTGCCCCGTGACACGCAGGGAAGAAGTCCCTGACTTCTTCTGAAAAAGGCGGCCCGCATGGGAACCTCGGTTCTCAGTACGGTTGCGTTTCCCAGTCTGGGCAGCGTGCCATTAGAACTAATCTGTCCACAGGTCCGCATTTCTCTGTGTGGGTGGTGTAGCTGCACGGATTTTCGCCTTGATCCGCAGCGGCACCACCCGCACAGATGTGAAACTAGCCTAAATGAATTTTGGTTAGTTAATCAGAAACCAGCTGAAATTAAAACACCATATGGCCAAATTAAAAGTAGGTGATCTACAAAGGTTGATAGTGGCCACATAGTGAGTCTATTTTTGCAGAGGGCCAGTAGACCTATAGACTCCCATCGTGAAAAGATTCAGTAAAGAACAAACATTGTGTAGCAATACAAATCAGGAAGCAGGGGCTGCATATATAGTGAGAAAATATAGCTAATCTCCATATAGATATGTATTAAACTGTAAGTAATAAATAAGAATGTCATTTTTTTAATCACACACATTGTTATATCCCATTGTTATACTAAGGGTATTATCTAAGCACCACATCCCCAATACAGCTCAATATTTCCATAAATCAATTTGCATATAGAACTTTTTGGTGCCACCTACATCAATAACAAATATTATAATGAAAAAGCATTTTTATTCAAATATATTAAAATCATATATAAAAAGGAAGGATATCTATGCCATCTATACCCACTGCACAATAGGCTAAATTGCATTCACAATTACATACAATTTCCATTTAGCTGATGCTGGTTTTTGCAGCAAAAATGTGAATTTTTAACATGTTTCACAGTGTTTTAAGTGCAGGTGATTTGAGCCATGAAAAGGTTAACACATTCCCCATTTAAGGTATGTCCAAGCTGTCAGTATCTAGGCTTTTGTGCTCATGTCATAAAAAGACTGAATGGACAAAATGACTTAATGTGAGCTGTCTATTGATTCATGATTGGACCTGATACTAGCACCTGTCCTATTCAGATGAATTTCAGCCTGTTTTCTAGATGATCAGTGAAAGCACAGTGAATCTGTGAATGCATGGGAGATAATGTAACATTGTCCATGGACCATGCTGAAGACACACGTAATAGTACAAAAGGTGACAGTGCTCTTACAAGAAATTAGAGGTTATGAATATGAATAGCTGTGTGTTATCATGGCCTGTATAGTGAATACATTGGATATTTTATAAGATACAGAAGGAATTGAATAAACCTCTGACAATAGGCCAAATTGATTGTTGCCTTAATTAAAGAAGCCTTTTTAAATCAGTAAAGCATCATACTGATATAAATCATAAAAACTAAGCAGTAGCTCAGATATCAATTAATTTCAAAAGATGTTCTCTTATGCATATTTCCAGGCAATGGAATCACTGGCTATCTGTCATTTCCACTAATAAAAATCTCTGAGCTCTAATTATTACCAGGAAGAAAAGTTATAGACCATATCTAATGGTGATTACCCAAGTGCATTGTTCCATGTAAAGTCTACTAATAAAAATGATCTCATCTCTGATATCTAATGTTGGTGTAATATGACATATGTCAGAGACAATGGAGTATAGGAGATGGAAGGCAAGGGCAAATACCAACATGGATACAGGGTGTGTGATATTTTACATTTCTTTTAAAGCTCTGGGCTATTGGCTAAATGCAAGTATGAATTACATGTAGCAGGGCCATTGCTGTTTCCCTTTTAACCTCCCTGGCGGTATGATTATTTCAGATTTTTGGTTCTGAAAGTGGTACATTATTTTACATGGAAATATGTAGTTTTTTTATTGTAGGCCTGTCATTTTTAGGAATAACTCACTGAAATCTGTCCGAACAAGAGTCTATTAAACATCCCGGGTATGATAAAACTTGAAACACGAAATCATAAATTATAATTTAATAAATAATCATAAAAAATAATAATATAATAATAAATTTCATTCAATAATATAATCAAACCAAAAACACTGAAATTTGAAATAGAGCGCCAAGTTCACACATCACTAAGCAAAGTCGCAGAATCGTTTTCAGTGTCTGATGACGAATTTCCCCACAAATCATTATCACTCAATTCTGCAAGTGGTTCTGATTTACTATCGCTGTTCTCTAGCCGGTCTAAAACCGATTTTGACCTAAAGGGACGCTTTTTGGATGCCATGGACTTTTCCCAGTTTCCAGGCAGAAAGAACAGTCAAAATGCAGGCAGGGCACAGGACAAAGCACTCGGGACAAAATGTATGTGAAATGGTTTGAAACAGCAATGTTTTGCTACGTAATAATCATTTACAAAAAAAAATGACATTTTTTAAAACTTTCAAATTTGTCGTCGGTTCCAGCCCCCGTACGTCCCGACGTCACAGGGACCGGAACACGGAAGCCGGATGCCGGCATCGGCCGGAGGAGATGGTCGGGGACGCTGCAGGGGACACATCGCGGGAGCAAAGGACAAGGTAAGCACTGCAGGGAATTCCTGAGCAACGCCGCATGGTAAGCCTGAGTGTATCTCGGGGTTGCCGCTTTTGGTACTGAAACTTTACCCCGAGCTCACTCGGGAATACCGCCAGGGAGGTTAAAGAACTGTTTCTCTTTTAAGACTGCATGTTGTCAGAAAGGGTTTGATTGGTTCAGCTCTGAGCAGTAGTGGAGTGTTTGTGGGAGTTGCAGTTTCATTACAGAGGCAGACAATGTAACTTTATACTGCACAGAACTACAAGAACAGGATGCTTTGCAAGGAGGAGCCACGTGGGCCTTTACAGAGGACATGTGGGAGCTGGTCTGCAGCCCCTACTGTTGAAGTACACTGACACTGTTTCCAGAACAGCAGAGGTTGCTAAGGACAACGGTTATCTACAGCAGCTGAAGTCAGCAGCAACTGTGATCATTGGTACTAGTCACCCGCAACAGCAGCTACCAACAGCAACAACATCTCCCACCGCAGAGAGAGGTCAGAGTATTGGAAATCGTAGAGGAGGCGTGTGACCATCCCAGGTGAGGCACCTCAGAGATTGTGCAGCACCGACAATTGACAACAGAAGAAAACTAGCAGACAGACAGAGCCCCATTCATCATCCCTTCAAGGAGTTGACCCCTGGAGACTGTTCTTCCTGGATGTGGTGAGCAACTTCTAACCAGTGACATGTCAGCCCTTAACCACTTCCAGTCCAGACACTTTTACCCCCTTCCTGACCAGGGCAATTTTCAGCTTTCAGCGCTATCACACTTTGAATGACAATTGCGTGCGGTCATGCAACACTGTACCCATATGAATTTTTTACCATTTTTTTGAGACAGATAAAACGTTATTTTGGTGGTATATATTCACTGCTGGGATTTTTATTTTTTTTGCTATGTAAATGAAAATGTCCAAAAAAAATGTCCAAAAGTCGAAAAAAGTGTTTTTCTTATACAATTTTGCAAATAAATAATATTTCATTATAAATCTTGGCTAAAATTTATTCCATTATCATTTTAGTAAAAAAAAAATAAGCCAAATTAGTTTATAACCAAAAATTATAATTTTTAAACATTTTTTTTTAAATTTTTATTTTTTTTATATTAGCATTTATTTTTTATTATTATTATTTGTTTTTTACATACTGTCACCCTAGCAGTACAGTGTCACCATGGTGACACTGTACTACTTTTGGGGGGGTGATGAAGATTTTTATTTTTTTTTTTTACACTGATTGCTTTTACACCCATATAGGATGTAAAAGCAATCATTTCTCTTTCTCTCTGTCTGCATTCTTGCAGCCATTGAGAACTACTGAGTGAGCTGTGATTGGTCACAGCTTGTCACATGGTACAAGGCTGTTGTGAATAGCCTTGTACCATGTGACCTCTGTGATCATTCACAGATTTCACACGTAGTAAGCAATGATGTCACAAGTGACATCTTGCTTACTACTTTGCATGTGATCACTGATTGGCCAATCAGTGATCACATGATCGGGACCTCGTACAGAGGTCCCGTCCGACGATCGGTGTTTCACTGTGGCTGGAGGACACAGTGGGCACTGGATCGCGGTGCTGTGCGCTCTCAGGGAACGCGCACAAGCAGTGTGCGGGGAGGCCATTTATAAACGACCACACGACCCTGCAGTGCCACCATCCGGCCGTTTATATACAACGGCCGGTCGGGAAGTGGTTAAGAGCGCTCCACTGATTCACTAACACAGGCCTATACAACACAGACTCACACAGTGTTACAATCTCACAGTATACAAGTGAATTTGGGACTGAGCCTAAAGAGATGTCAGTCTAGCTGGGGACATATTGCTGCTATAGTTGCAGGGGGTTCATTCTGATCTATAGCTATACCGGTATATACGTATATACATGAATATTGTATTTATTGATGTCATTGTGCCAATTATAGAAGGTTTGTGTATTCAGTGCATTTAACTGCTATTTTCCAAGTTATTTTGCAGTCTATTTGCAGAGTTTTACCTGTCATTAAATCTGTTATAAAACTTCCCACAAGGTGTACTGGTGTGCTGTGGATCCAATATATATATGGTTCATCACTAAAGTAAGGACAGAGTGCCCATTAATTCCAACGGCTCCTTCGGGGGGTGAGCGCCACATACATATGTGAGAACTGTTTACCTACCATTACAGCTCTCATTCCCACCCCTATCCTATAACTTGACAGAAAGGGAGAACACTGCAGAACTAATCTTTTTGTCACTCTGCCTTCTCCTCCTATCAACATGCCACTTGCACTTTAACACACCTGTTTGTGCTGCTTCTCCCTCTCCCAAAATAAGCCCTGCTGTACAGAGCCTGCAAGAGACTGTTAAAAAATGTCACATTTGGGTATTTCCACTTAAAAGAGTAATTTAATAATGCCTTGAAAAAGTATTCATATCCCCTTGAAATTTTCCAAATTTTGTCATGATACAACCAAAAACATAAGTGTATTTTATTGAGATTTTATGTGATAGACCAACACAAAGTGGCACATAATTGTGAAGTGGAAGGAAGATGATAAATGGTTTTCAAATTCTTTACCAATAAATATGTAAAAAGTGTAACGTGCATTTGTATTCAGCCCTCCGGAGGAGTCAAAACTTTGTAGAACCACCTTTCACTGCAAGGGCAGGCCAACTCAATATTGAACCCAGGGACTAATGCTGGCCATACATGGGTCGAAATTCGACCGATGTTTCATCCGAAAATCGGGCTTAAGAATAATCAGCTGATTTTCGCTCTGTTAGTGGGTCAATGGCACCGGCCGATTTTCATAGTTCCTCCCCTTTTTTGGTGATCGGTCATGTTGGAAAATTTGTGAAAAAGGACCAATTTTCGACTCAATGATGGTCAAATCATACGATCGTTTTTCAGAAAAGAATATGCGCATAAGCCGTGACCTGGAAGGAACAGAAGTTTCGCCTGTTGTATGGGGTGAACTTTATGAATGGTCGTCCGATTTTCAATATCATTGATGGCACCATTGGATTACTGAGCAAAGGACGTTTTCAATTTTGTTTGAAATTCGACCCATGTATGGCCTGCATAAGACTGGGATGCCATTAAAGTTCATGTGCGTGTAAAGGCAGGTGTCCCAATACTTTTGGCAATATAGTGTGTGTGTATGTATATATATATATATATATATATATATATATATATAAACTAAGTTAGTCTAGGTTCACACCTAAGTATTTTCCGCAGTGTTTTGCAGAAACACACTACAGTCCATTTAACATGATGGGACACGTTCACATCTCTGCATTTTCGCCAGGTGCGTGTAGTGCGTTTTTGATGCGTTTTGCATTTTAAACTGCCTATCGACACGGAAAAGAAACACTCAAAACGCATAAAAAAGTGTCAAAAACGCATGTGCAAAAACGTACCGCATAAAGCACCACAGAAACGGATAAAACGCAAACTGCATAGGTGTGAACATAGGCTTAGGCCTTTCACACAGGTGGACTCCGCCAGAAAAGTAGCTGCTCAGCAGTGGATCTGTCCGTTGATCCCTGCTGAGTAGGCAGATGACAAGTCCATGTCCACTTCACTTATGCAGGGCAGACACGGACACAGCCCACTTTTCTCTATGGGTGACCAAATGTAAACTGGCCACCTGCCCGATTACATCTGATTGTCATCCAATCCATTAGACTGATGGGGAATGGACCCCTCATTTATCTGTTTTTAGTGGATCGGATGCAGGCAGGTGTAAACGGATGCATATCCTTTTACATTCACCACTCCATAGAGGACAATGGATGGTTCAATTGGGTCTGCCTGAAAAAGGACAGGCGGACCTAATCGGTCCACCCGTGTGAAAGAGGCTGTAAACTGAACAATCACTGTCCAGAAAGCAAACAAAACAATGTGCTCAAGAAGCTACACAATAAATAAGTCATCATGTTGTACAAGCTATGACTTTGGAATCTTTAACATGAATGTTTGGGTTATAACCAATCGATACATAACAAATCATTTGGGTATGTTTGCAGTTTTATAATACAATGTAGGCTGCATTGCTGTTACATATCCTAATAAAATATTAATGGTCCCAACCAAACTAATAACAGCAAATAGTTCCTGGAGGATCTAACATGGCTAGTAAACTGAACCACGCACTCTCACGTTTTGTGAAATGTATTGAGACGCCATCAAACATTTATATACAGTTTTATACAAAAGACATTATCAGTATAATTGTTTAATAAAAATATAATGTGGGTGGCCTTGAGTTCACCTTGTGCTCCCCGAAAACAGGATTTATTGAAAATACAAAGCTAAGATACATTATATTGCCAAAAGTATTGGTTGGCCTGCCTTTACACACACATGAACTTTATTGGCATCCCAGTCTTAGTCCGTAGGGTACAATATTGAGTTTGCCCCGCCCTTTGCAGCTATAACAGTTTCAACTCTTCTGGGAAGGCTGTCCACAAGGTTTAGGAGGTGTCTATGGGAATGTTTGACCATTCTTCCAGAAGAGCATTTGTGAGGCAAGGCAATGATGTCAGATGAGAAGGCCTGGCTCACAGTTTCCGCTCTTAATTCATCCCAAAGGTGTTCTTATTGGGTTGAGGTCAGGACTCTGTGCACACCAGTCAAGTTCCTCCATCCCAAACTCACTCATCCATGTCTTTATGGACCTTGCTTTGTACACTGGTGCGCAGTCATGTTGGAACAGGAAGGGGCCATCCTTAAACTGTTCCCACAAAGTTGGGAGCATGAAATTGTCCAAAATGTCTTGGTATGCTGACGCCTTAAGAGTTCCCTTCACTGGAACAAGGGGGCCAAGTCCAACCCCTGAAAAACATCTCCACACCATAATCCCCCCTCCACCAAACTTTACACTTGGCACAATGCAGTCAGGCAAGTACCGTTCTCCTGGCAACCACCAAACCCAGACACGTCTATTGGATTGGCAGACAGAGAAGCATGATTTATCCCTCAGGAGAACACGTTTCCACTGCTCTATTGTTCAGTGGCGGCGTGCTTTATACCACTGCATCCGATGCTTTGCATTGCACTTGGTGATGTAAGGTTTGGAAGCAGCTGCACG